TATTATTTTTATTTTATGTGTATGAATGCATTGCCTGCATGTATGTAAGTGTACCCATGTTGTGCTATGCCTGTGGAGGTCAGAAGAGGGTGATTCTCCTGGAACTGGAGTTATAAACAATGTTTAGCCACCATGAGGGTGCTGGAAATCAAATCTCGATCCTCTACAGCCAGTGTTCTTAACCACTGAGCCGTCTCTCCAGCCCCTCATCTTGGTTTTTGAAACAAGGTCTCTCACTGGTTTAGAACTTGTCAAATGCACTAGGCTGGCTGGCCAGAGAGCCCCAAAGATCCTCCTGTCTCCACTCCCCCTTCCCTAGGGCTGGAATTACAAGTGTGTGCCACTATACCTGGCTTTAAAAAAATTATTATTTTTTTATTTTAATTTTTGGTTTTTTGAGACCAACTTGGTCTCAGTCTCACAGAGAGGTGGAGCCTGTTTCTACCTCCCAAGTGCTGGGACTAAAGGCAGAGGTCTAAAGAGGGTGATGAATCCCCTGGAACTGGAGTTAGAGATGGTTGTTAGCTACCATGTGGGCATTGGAAAGCAAACTCAGGTCCTCTGCAAGAGCAGCCAGTGATCTTAACCACTGTACTGCCTCTCCAGCCTTGTCCTTTTTTTGGGGGGGGGTCTTTTTGAGACAGGGTCTCCCTGTAGTCCTAGCTGACCTTGAACTCACAGAGCTCTGCCTGCCTCTGCCTCCTAAGTGCTGGGACTATAGGTCCCATGCCTGGTCCTTTTTGTTTTTTAGACAGAATCTTGCTTTGTAGTCTTAGCTCTCCTGGTAACTCAGCGATCCTGCTTCAGCCTTCCAAGGGCTGGGATTATGGGCTCATCCAATCATACCCAGATACTGCTCTACATCTTACTGATGTATTCAGCAAAAATTTATAGGCACTGTGGACCCCTTGAGCTATTACATATTTTGAGTAAGTCAGGTTTAGTCAAATTTCCAAGCTAACCAAACTCAGTCGGCCTACAGTGTCTCCAGTTGTACACCTGCTCTCCCTAGAATGCATCCAGTTTACACCTGTCCTCCCTTCCTGTGGCAGGGTCAGATCGTGGTGCCACGAGGCTGCCGGGACTTTGGCTGGGATCCCTGCTTCCAGCCTGATGGATATGAACAAACGTAAGGAGCCAATTTCTTCCCAGGGGTACAGGCTGAGGTGGTACCTTGTCCATGTGCAGGCACAGGGATATGTATGAGGCAGGCTGTGTTCCAGCTGAAGGCATCTCTGCTGGGGTGGACACGAGGAATCTGGTGGCCTGGTCCATGGTGGTGAAGCTCAGGTGTCTTGGGTTCTGCCTCAGCTCACCTGAGAGCAGCTGTGGGGCCAGGGCCTCTCATCCTCTGGCCTTGGCCTATCAAGATGTATAAACATGGTGGTTTTTTGGGATGATGCTGAGCTGGAAAACTATGCACAGTTCTGCAGCCTCTGGTGGGCACATGAAACCCTCATAGTAACACATGTTCTCAAGCTTTTTCCATTAACCTCCTACCCTTATTTATACATTGCCATTATTGGGCTCAGGTTTTCCAGACGAGAGGGTTCCCCCTGCCCAGTAGCCATGCAGAGCTGAGGACTCCAGCACTCTCCAGGAATGTTTAGGTTCCAGAACTGTCTGTATTTGTGCTGTCTTGTTGGTGATTACAGAGCACTTGAAATGTAGATAGACTGAGGAGTTCAGTTTATTTTGGTTCAGTTTTAATTGACTTGGATAGCCACATTATCTAGTGGCTGTGTATTAGACCAAGGCTCTGAAGCCCACAGGCAGGGTGTGTGTTACCTCACTGGTAGTGTCCTCACACAGATGGGCCCCTGGCCAGCTGATGGGTTCTCCAACTCCCAGTGCATCAGAGGTGACTGCTGTGCTCGATTTGTCAGGCTCCACGGCTTCCTGTCAACACATGTCAAAGCTGATCAAACACGCTGCTCATCCCTGTCCATAGCGTCCCTGAAGGACACACTAGAGCAATTTAATATCCTTCCATGCCTATTAATATGGGTTTCTATCTACAGAGGAATTTAAAACTATCTCAGGGTCAGAGGGTATTCCCTTGGGACCAAACATGGATTGCTGGGGGCCTATCTGCCCCTTGCCTGTGATTCTGGATATGGATTTTACCTGCAGGCAATGCCCAAGCTACTGCGGAAGGGGAAGGGGACCTCCAAATACAGTCCTTGAGTGTTGGGCCCCAAGGTGGTGGTGAGGTGCACATCTTCCCAGTGTTTGGGTTCCCTGTCCTCTGAGCTGCTGCTGTTGCCTGCTAGATATGCAGAGATGCCCAAGACTGAGAAGAATGCCATTTCTCACCGCTTCCGGGCCCTGCACAAGCTGCAGGAGTACTTTGGCTGCGAGACTCATGAGGCTGGCGGTGGCCATGCCGGCCGTGGATGCTGGGACAACTAGCACAACTCCCCAGCAGGCGGACACTCCTGCCTGTTTCTCTGTGTTTCCCCTCTGGGGCTATTGTGGCAGCTTCAGCAACCAGGTTTGGAAGAGAAACTGACAAGTTGATACTAATATCTTGCCCTTCAGGGTTTGCGGATTGTTGCTCCTCTGATATGTGGCCCTGGGATCCTGAGGGACCTTGGATGTTAAAGCCAGTCTTGGCAGAATTGAGGGTTTGGGGAGGAACTACACAAACTTTGATGTTTTCAGAATGCAGCAAATGTAAATTCTGGAGGGCCCTTGTTTCTAAAATAAATCGTGTATGTTTTGAGCCTTGCTGCTGTAATGTACACTATATCTGTGTCTTGAGTTCCCTTTAACAGGGAGGAACCCGTCTTGGCAGGGTAACCAGAGGGGCAGTGCTGTGAAGGATGTTCCCCTGCGCTTGCTAGCTGGAATGCTACATCTCTCTGTGATGTTTTACTCTTGGAGTCATGGATCATAAGCCATCTTTTCCATGTCAGATTCCTGTTGGGGCTGGAAGGCAAGTACAGGTTTTACTTTATGCTCTTGTACATTAAGGGCCAGCAAGATGGCTCAGCAGGTACAGGTGTGCCACTGAGCCTGATGACCTGCACTCCCTCCGAAATGACCGAGTGTCCACGTGATGGAGGGAGAGAACTAACCCCCGCAGGCTGTCCTCTACCCCCCATGTGCACCTTCCCTGTGAGTAGAATAAAAGAGACCAATGTTTGTTGGGTGTCATCTGTGTGCTGTCAAATGTTGGTTTATGTTCATAATGCCACGTACTTTTTTGGAGGGAAGAGGATGTAGTCCTTGATCAGTCGACATGGCACAGTTGAGGCTGGCAACTAGAGGCCCCACAGGAGGTCTGACTCAACTACTTTGGATCATCACTGTGTGCTCCCAACCCCAAGCTAGTCCCTGGGAAAGACTTCAGGGAGCAGGTGCCTGCCTTGTAGTTCTCCTGGGTCAGTTCTTGATGAGGAAGGGTATATTCAGAAAACATGGGAGAAGAAAAAGGATTGGGGTGTTGGGTTAGTCCAAGTATTCTAGGCAGCTCTGGAGACCTCCTGCCTCCTAGTTTTTGGCCCTTAGACTTGGCAAGGTGGTCCTGGGCCTGCATTCAGCCATTCTGAGAATGGCATCCCCTGCTTGACCTCAGGCAGGTCATGTGCCCCAGTACCCTAACAGCCTTTGGAAAGTGGGAAGGTATCTGCCTGGGCTCAGACATAGGGTGCTGGAAGCCTGTAGCCCCCTTGCCTCTGGTTCTGGATATGGCTCTTCCTGCAGGGGTTACTGAGGAAAGGGTTCTCCGATTTTAATCACAGGCAGTGTAGGTGAGTGGGGGTGGATATATGGGCACCTTGGTGTTTGCTGCCCAGCTCCTTCCTAAAGTCCCCCTTTGACTTTACCCAACCCCACAAACTACTGTGGAGAACATACTTGTACCTAACGCCATCCCCCCAAAGCAGAATCATGACTATGTCCACACCCTGCATCTATTCATGTGGGCACCTCATTCCAGCCTGTTCAGTGTCAAGTCTGACAGTCCATCAAGTCTAAGGTGGTTCTGCTGGCTTGCATTTCTCTGATTAGGTACCAACGTTTTGGGGCTTTTATTCTTTTGTAGTACTGGTAGTCAAACATGGGGCCTCTCGCATGCTAAGCAGGTATTCTGTTGAGCCATATTCCCAGATCTATGAAGAGGTTTGAGTATCTCTTGCCATTCCTGTTATCCTTTCCCTCTTACTGGTTTACAGAGTCTCTGTGTGTCCTTTTATTTCTCTGTAGATGAAAGTCTTACCTATTATTTTTCTATTTCCTTTTATTTTGTGGTGCTAGGGATCAAACCTGGAGCCTTGCACATGCTAGTAAATATTCTACCACTGAGCTACATATACATTGTATACTTTATTTATTGTTTTCTTTTTGAGACAGGGTCTCATGTGGCCCATGCTGATCTTAGAAGTCACTATGTAGCCAAGGCTGGCTTTGAACTAATCCTGCTTCCACCTCCCAAGAACTAGAGTTACAGGTGTGTGCCACTGTAATGTGCATTATTATTATTATTATTATTGTCTTTTTAAGACGGGATCTCCCTGTAGCCCCAGCTGTCCTGGAACTCACTAGGTAGACCAGGCTGGCCTCGAACTCACAAAGATCCGCCTGCCTCTGCCTCCCAAATGCTGGGATTAAAGGCATGTGCCACCACGCCCAGCCTGTAATGTACATTATATTGGTAAGTTGTGATATGTTCTTTAAAATTTATTTTTATAGCTGGGCATGGCAGCACATACGTTTAATCTCAGCACTTGGGAGGCAAAGGCAAGTGGATCTCTGTGATTCTGAGGCCAGCCTGGTCTGATAGCGAGTTCCAGGTCAGCTGGGGCTACAGAGAGACCCTGTCTCAAAAAGACAAAAAAAAAAAAAAGATGAGTATTTTGCTTTGTGTACCTATGTTGTGCAATTCCTGTAGAAGCCCAGAAGAGGGCACTGGATCCCCCTGTAACTGGAGTTATAGAAGGTTGTGGGTGCTAGGAATTGAATCCAGGTCCTCTGCAAGAGCAGCTAGTTTTTTTTTTTTTTCTAATTTTATTATTTTTATGTGTATGAGTGTATTGCCTGCATGTATGTGAGTGCACCCATGTGCAATGCTGCAGAGATCAGAAGAGGGCTTTGGATTCCCCTGGAACTGGAGTTAAGGATGGTTCATAGCTGCCATGTGGGTGCTAGGACTTGAACCTGGGTCCCATGCAAGAGCAGTCAGTGCTCTTAACCACTGAACCTTGTCTCCAAGCCCTGTCATGTGTTCTTTGAGAAGCGGGCTGTAAGTGGGGCTTTTCTCCCATTTCAGACCTCATGTTTTTCCCTTGTTGGGGAATGGGCTGGTCCCTCTGACAGGGAGAACAATCAGCCTGAGTTAAAAAGTTTGTGTTGAGAATAGCTAGAAGGTAAACCATTTCCAACAGGTGCTATTCCTGTTTATGCCTTGATGTAAAAGTGCCTGCAGTGGGAAGAGAAGCCAGGTCAGCCCTGGGAAACTCCAGCTAACTGCCTCAACCTCCCCGCTTGGTTTCTGCTGGGTGCTGTGAGTGCTTGATTTAATGTCATCTCTTTTGATTGGTTCTTTTACTTGGAAGCCTCACTGGAGGGGGCCACTGCTCTGCCTAGATCTCCAGCTGGCTGTCTCAGCAGGGCTCCCCTTGTCAGTTTCTCCTGGATGATCTGAGCACCCAGTTTGTTTTTTTGTTTTTTCTCTTTTCACTTTAGCTTCCTATAAACTCATACAAAAACAGAAGCTGGATTGCACAGAACCAAAAAATGGCTTTTTTTTTTTGGTTTTCTTGAGACAGGGTCTAGACCAAGCTGGCCTTGAAATCATGGTGATCCTCCTGTGTCAGCCTCCTGAATGTTGGGACTGCACACATGAGCCACTTCTAGGTGTTTTTTTTTTTTTGTCTTTTTGAGACAGGATCTCCCTGTAGCCTCTGCTGGTCTGGAGCTCACTATGTAGACCAGTCTGGCCTTGAACGCAGAGATCCACCTGCCTCTGCTGGGATTAAAGGCATGTGCCACCGTGCCTGACCGTCCAGTTTCATTTCAATTGTATATGTAACAATGCTCTTCCTCTGCTTTGTCCAAAAATATTTGTCCACAGGGCATCTGTGGAGCCCAAGCTCTGTAGGGTGAGAGAAGCTAGACATTTCTGTCTACACTGTTGCTGCCCCCAGGTACACATGGGCATTCCCTGAACCTTAGATTCCTGTTTCCTGCGGCTGCCTGCTGCTTATGGACTCTGGCACCAAATGAACCAACCAAAACATGGTATCTTCAGTCCTCCACTAGACTCATCACCACAGCCCACCACCTGCCTTTCTTCCACTTCTGTCCCGCCCTACAATCACACCATCACTGCCCTGTGCATAGCACAGTACAGCCCCCCCCCCCACCACCAACCCCCCCCCCCCCCCCCCCCCCCGGCCCTGGCCAAACTCTAGCATATGCTGCAGCCTCACTATCCTCCTTTGCCATAAAACACCTTGCTAGGTCCAAATCCTGTCCCCTTAGCATCTTCTGTTCCCAGAATACTTACCTTGCAGGGACGTAGCAACATGACAACACAAAAGCCCTGGTGTGTCCACTGTTCACAGTTGGGCCAGTGCCCACATTGGAGGTGACAGCAAACATTGGTCCCTTTATTCTACTCCTAGTGGGTTTCTGTTCCCCCAAACTAGGAAACGTAGCAAGGATAGACATGGTACACTGAAGCACAGGAGCAGGGCCTTTATTCTCTCATGCACACACACTGAATTCCTTACACAATCAAGGAAATGGTTTCCTGGGCATCAACTCTTTTATCAAAAGAAAATCCACCCCTTTTTTTTTTCTGAGCTAAAGACCGAACCCAGTTGTGCTTGCTAGGGAAGCACTCTACCACTGAGCTAAATCCCAAACCCCGAAAAGCCACCCTTATTCCCCCCTGGGCAATATTCCTGACCCAAAGCTAAAGGTTAATGGCGAGAGAAGCGAGCACACACCATCTAATACTCAGGGGCTTTCAGCCCATGGGTCAGCAATGAGGACAGCACAGAACCACAACCAGGACACTCAGACCTCCCCCTACACTGCCACAGTGCAGGCCTGAAAAAATGGGGAGGGTGCCACAGGTCAGGGCCTGTGCTCGGCATCCATCACGTCCAAGTACTTGGCTTCAATGATTCGGGGTAGCAGGTTGTAGCTGCAGAGTAGAGGGAGAGGCAAGACAAATGAGTGGTGAACAGTAGAGAAGAGAGCAGGCACCCACTGAACCAGCTGGGCCCTCCTGACCACAGCCCACATGCTGGTCATACCGGATAGGGATCATCGCAATCATGATGAGGGGGAAGACCATCTTCATGTATGGCAAGGAGCTCATGCCAAAGGCACAGAGCAGCAGCAGCTGCAGAACCTGCAGGCCTGTGAAATAGTGGATCTTCCTCTGGGGCACTCTCCGGATGTAGTGCGTGGGTGGGTATGATGTCTGTGGGCAGTGGAAACGAGAGGTGGTCAGGGATGGCCATGTTCCCATACCTGCCCCCCTTGGCCCAGGCACCCACCTGCTCCTTAAGCAGCAGGGCTACACGTGAGAAGAGCTGGTTTCCATCCAAGGAGGTGAGTGCGATGTAGAGGAAGAGCCCATAGAGCACAGGCTTGGGGATCCACTGCAGGGGGAAGGGCAGCAGCAGCAGGGAGAGGCCCACCAGGATGCTGGCACCCAGTGAGGTCAGCCGCGTCTCCTTCACATTCACGATCCTATGGGGGCCCAGAGCAAAGAGCCATGTGCCTCCTCAGGCCACAGGGTCCAGGGCTGCACTGCTTCTGGGCCCTAAGCCACATCCTTCCCTAGGTCACACATGGACTGAGATCCCCCTCTCACCTCCAGGTCCCCTTTGCTCTTACCCTAAGACTTCAGGGCCCGCTTTTACTCACGTCTCATAAATGTGCCCATTCTCTACACGTTCCTCCACTAAGGCCAGTGCTCGCACATGCAGGGGGGAGTGGGGGTAGGCAGCATGGATCCAGGGTAACCCGAATAGAGACAGCCCTGTATTGATGACGGCAAGTAGCAGGAGGTCCCAGTGGTAGGCAGTGCCCTTCACCAGCCTGCAGCAGATGGACACACATGAACAGAAGCCTGTTGGCAGGCTGGGCACTCACCTCACCCTCTCCCAGCCCTCAGTACCTGTTTTCTGGTGCATTGACGAGGGCAGCCACCAGGTTCTGCTCAATGAAGAAGAGCAAGGAGAGGAGGAAGCCAAGGCCCATGGCACTGCCAATAGCCTTGAGGGACAGCAAGTGCACCTGTGCCACTTCGAAGAGGTTCTCGCTGGGGTTGTAGCGGAACTTGCTCACTGCAATATGAGACAAGCTTCTGCTTGGTCCCCAGTCCCCAGGGAGCAAGCCCATGCCACTCCCAAGTCACCCTCCAGTCCCAACTCACTTTCAATTTCCTGGAAGCCATACGAACTGATGAGGGAGAAAGACAGCACAGCGATGGGCAGGGCACAGTCAGAGAGGGTCTCTCGGACACATGGGTGCAAGTAGGGGCTGGGGATGATGGGTGTATCAGCATGACCTAGGGGCTAGTTGGCCCTTACCACCACCCAAGCCCCCTCACTTCTTTTGAGATCTTGCAATAGGGTCTTGCTATGTAGCCTGGCCTTGGACTTGAGATCCTCCTGCCTCTGCCTCCCAGATCAAAGGCTTCCCCTCACCTTTTCTTGAACTGGTAGAGGGTGTAGCCCAGCCAGAGTGTGCCCAGCATGATAAGGAGGCTGAGTACTGCAGTTGCCTGGCCCGAGTGTATGCTGTTGGGGCTGCTGGCTGTGGCCAGTTCTATGGGGCTGGCCAGGAGGCTGGTGTTGAGGGCAGTGTGGAAGCTGGTGTTGGAGCTGGTGCCAATGCCCAACAGGCTTGTCAAGGATGAAGTCCTTTTTGTGTAGTAGTGGTGACCATAGTAGAACTTCCAGAAGACTGTGGACAGGTCAACAGGCCTAAGCATTTGGGATCTGGTAGGTTGGAGCCTAGCTTCCTTCTGGATATAGGATCAAGGGGCCCTCAAGGGTGATGGGGTGAAGGGAAAGGGAGGGGACCACGAAGGAAGAGAGACCCTCTAAGGATAGAAGGAGGAATGAATAAGGGAGTGCTCTGCACTTTTCCGGCAACCGGGAACCACCACTTGCCCATCTATGGTCTAAGCCTGCTACTGTCCTTGTTGTACTTCTGATACCCCATTATGACTGGCTTCATGCCTCTGCCTTGGGGAAGCCCTGTTACTCTCCAGGAGCACATGGGACTGCTGCCGTGTGGCAGCCACAGCTCCTACAGCATCTTTGACCATGAGAGGGACAACCTTAGCTTGGCAGCTGTGTACTCACTTTTGACTATGCCCTTGACAGCATCCAGCACAAATGTGATGGAAATGAAGAGGGCAATGATCTCTTCTGTCGACCTGCAAAGAGGTGGTGTGCCTCATGTAGGGATGGAGGGCTGTTAGCCGAGACTTTCCTGAGTTCCTGCATGGACCACCCCCATGAAAGCTCCCCCATGGAACCACTTCAGCCTTTTGGGGAATACCCTGTGTATCCCAGAGTTACAGAGCCTTAGCATAATGCTGAGCCAGATCCCTAGGCTCAAGGTTCCCTGCAGATCAGAACCAGTCACCTCTTGAAGAGATTCATAAGCAGGCTGAGGTTGAGGAATGCATAAAGTGTGAGGAAGAAACTGTTCCACAGGCCCGTCCATGCATAGAAGGATTTGAAGTCTAGGTTGTAGTCATCACAGATGACCTGGATCACTGCAAGCAGCAGGGCAGGATGGGCAGTCAGGGCTGGGCAGGGCTGGGCTCCAGGACCTTGGGCACTGTATCCCACTTCAACCCCCACTGCACCCTGGATGTAGATGGCCAGGGGTGCGGTTGTCAGCAGGATCACCAGTGGCTGCCCCGAAAAGAGTGCATACAAGAGGCCTCCAATGCTCTGCCCAGCTATGGTCTTCTGCACATCTGTGGAGGTAGGAAGGTCAGAGGGCACCACAGCCCAGGGCCCTGCCTGGCACATCCCTACCTCTCCCAGCCCCTCACCAATGACCCCATTTGTGTTCTCATCATTGAGGGACCCAAAAGCGATGGTTGGCAGCAGGCAGGCGAAGTAGAGGAAGAGAGTGGTGGTGATGTATTTGCCCACAGTCTTGCCTTTCCCGATAATGCCTAGGAAGGGGGACAGTGAGCATTGTTGCAGATGCAGGACAGGCACACATGGTCTCCTGGCTGAAAGGTCAAGCTCTGTGTGGGCCACATACCATCAGTGAAGTCTAGTGGGTACACAGGAAACCTGCGCATGATGTCCCCCCAGATGCCTTTCCCAAAAGGGACAAAGTCCTTGTACTTCGGGGGCTGGGGAGACAGACAGTACTTGTTAGCTCTGGCTGGCCCTGCCCCTCTGACCACGCCAACCCCTTGTCTACCTGAGGGTGTCTGTGAGTGTGGAGAGAGCTCATGCTGTGTCCCTTGGCTCTTGGCATCATCATGGTGAGCAGCTGTCTCTGATGCACCAAAGCCTCCTTGAATTCTTCCTCTGTGCGGGTCTTTAGGAGCTTCTGGCGGAAAGTGATATCTGAGAACATGGTGGCGAACGTGCGTGCCACCTCCATTGCTGTTTTGGTGCTTTTCTGGGGACAGAGGATGGAATGGGTGTACCTGCTGCTCCTGTAGAGCAGAGAAGTCCTGTCTCTGCCAAGCACAGGCACTTCAGACAAGTGGTGCATGCTCTCCTTATAACCAGCTGGTGGATTTTAGTCCCTACAGTTCAGACATTAATGCGTCTTGCCAGTTTCCACAAAGTCAGCAGATCCCCAGAACTGAAACAGATCTAGTATTTTTTTCTTTCTTTTTTTGTTTGTTGGAGACAGGGTCTCATTCTGTAGCCCAGGCTGGTCTAGGACTCATGGCAATATTCCTACCTCGCCTTCCTGAGTGTTGGGATTACAGGCATGAGCCACCATGCCTGGCTTGGTATTTTTCTTAGCTTTGTCCTAAGCAAGAAAAATGTTTGATCACTGACATGAAACCATAATGGAACAAAACATGTGCCTAGTCACATCCTGTCAATGGTATCTGCACTGTCTGCTGGCTTATCTGCCTTTGAAATACAGGCCCATCAGACCTTCTCTTACCTGGCCATGGTCAACTGTTATGGGTTAGATATGTAATGTCCCCCAAAAGGCTCATATGTTGAAGCCTTGATCCCCAGTTGGTGGGTCTAATCATGGAGAAGTAACTGAATTTTGAAAGTTCTGACCTAATTAATGGATTCATATACTGATGGAGTTATAATTTCTTGGCATTACTGGGAGGCAGTGGAAATAGATGGGCCTGTTCTAAGGGAGGAACTCACTGGGAGGTACTTCTTGGAAGGGTATATCCCAGGATTCTTCTCCCATTTTTGGATGTGGAATGCCAGTGAGCAAATCCAGTACCTCATGTATGTAAGCCTACTGCCACTGAGCCATGCCCCCAGCTTCTCCGTCCCTTTCCGCTTCCTGGCTGCTATAAGGTGAGCAGCCCTGTTCCATTGAGCCCTCTCCAACACAGTGTTCTGCCACACCTCAGGCCAAAGCAATGGAGCCAGCCAACCATGGACTAAACTCGCTGAAACCTTGAGCCAAAATATATCTTTCCTCTTATAAGTTGATTTTCTCAGGTATTTGTTACAGCTTACACATGAATCCTGCTTACTCCCTTGCCCAGTCTCCTGAGAGGCCCCTTTATTATACTCAGATCAAAAGTCTTCTATGCCTAGAGCTTGTGTTACTGAGAAGGAACTCTGTTGGGTATTGGTTGTCTCAATACACCAATGTGGACACTCAGCTTTTAGGCTCTTTCTACTGTTCAGGTCACTCTGCCAGCTGCCATTCCCTATAACCCATGAAGTGCCCTTCTCTCTCCCTAGCACAGAAACACTACATGCACCATGCCTCTAAAACTTCTGGCAGGGACATTCCCCTTACCCCTGGCTACTTAGAGAAATCTAGAGGAGGGAGCCTGCACCTGAGGCAGGGCAGAATCAACAAAAAGCTAATGAAAATGGGATGGCAACAAAGACCTGGAATCCTAGCACGTGGAAGATAGGAGGATAAGAACCAAAGCTAGCCTGGGCTACATGAGACTGTCTCAATAACAAATGGGATAGGCGAGGTGGCATAGTCCTTTAATCTCAGCACTAGGGAGGCAGAGGCAGGCAGATCTCCATGAGTTCAAGGCCAGCCTGGTTTACATGGTAATTTCCAGGTCAGCAAGAGTTACATAGTGAAACCCTGTCTCAGAAAACCATCCGACCAACCAACAAAAAGGAACTAATGGAAGGCAGGAGTGTGGCTCAGTGGTAGAGTCCTTACCCTGCCATGCTTGCACATGAGGGCACTACACTCCATTCCCAGCACCGAGAGAAAAACAAAAACAAAAAGTAGCTAATGAAAGGTTATATATTAAAGCTTTGAGACGGGGGACCTCACAATTCCATATTCAGGAAGTTTTTCCTTTTCAGGATTTTAAAACCTTTTTCCTTATTGGGAAAACTCCCAAACTGTACCAGTTTCAGCCCCACAAAGCAAAGTGTCCTTGATCCGATGTGGCATGGCCCAAGGAATATAGATCCTAGGCCAGCACATCACAAAGGAGGAGGGTTGATGAGGAAGCAAGCCAAAGAAAGGCCCCAAAGTTTGAATCATAGTAGTCATACGGAGATTTTGGTGCAAGGGAACTACATTCAGGGCCTTGTGCATATAGAGCACATGCCTTGCCACCAACCTACACCTCCAGTCGCCTCAAGCAGTAATTATAAAAAGCATTTCTTTTCTATTGGAAAGCCAACCTTTTGGACAATTTCCAGGGTAATTTGGATGCCACAGGGACTTAGCAATAATATTTTTGTTAACTCATCCAGAAGAGAGGAAGAGTGGGTGTAAGGAGGACTGCAGAGATGTTCTCAAGGAGAGGACAGAGCAGCCTGGGACCCTTCCCCACACAGCACCCAGGACCCAAACTCACCATCTTGGGTGGGGCCAGCACCAGGATGACAAAGCGAACTTCACAGGAGTTTTCCCCCCAGTTCTGAGGGCGAACTAGGCGGCTGATGCACACGTGCCGCTTCTGTAGGGCCTTCATGGTACAGCTGGTCAGGACAAGAGAGTGCAAAGGTCGCTGCTACCCTGGAAGCTGAGCCTCTCGCCACCCAGCGGAACCCGAACTTTGACCTCTAGTGACCTCCATTACCAGGGAGAAAACAGAGACAAATCGGATGTGTCACCACAGCTGTGTGGCCTCTGCAGGCACATGCCACCTAGCTTCAGGATAAGTGGCTGTAGGATGGAGACTCACGTGATGCAGAGCCATGACTGTTGGTACTGCACCCCTCTGACAGTGGCAGTGACCCCTTGGATGGTATCTGACAGCAGGTGGACTAAGGGTGGAAGAAAGAGGAGTGTCAGCTGGTCTAGCCATGCCGAATGTGTCAGTGCAGGGAGAGGGCCTCACCTTTACTCTCCATGGGGGCCCCAGCATCTGTAAAGACCTTGGCCATGAACAGGTCCAAGTCACAGTCAGGCTCTGTATGGTTGGGGTCCTGGGCAAAGCGGTTTAACATAGTTCGCAGCACATCATCCAGAGAGGTGGCTGTCTCATTCAGAATGATGCTGGCCTGTGCCAGGAAGCCATCCAGATCCCGGTGTGCACGGACCTCTTCCTCAAAGTTCTTTAACTTCAAGTACTGTAGGGACCCCAGGTACAGAACCACACGTGCCTCTGAATGAGGCCATTGTCACTGCTCACCTCCTGCCCCCCATGATGATCTCTGGGTGCCCCTGTCCACCAGGACCCATGGCTCCTTTCCAGGAGGGAAGGTCCAGGCTTGGGTTAGCCTAAGTCCCCTGTTTAGGAATGCTTGGGAGCATGGGGAGAGGGGAACAGTATGGGAGATATAAGAGAATTAGTCCCCTTTAACCCTGGTTGGAGACCAACAAAGCCCTGCAGGACAGGCCTCACCTTGCGGGAGGTGTGCAGGAGCACACAGCCACCAGTTGCAGCTTCAATGTCTAGAAGAAAGGGAGGAGAATTCAGCATGTTGCCCTATTTCTTCAGGGTTCCTTGGTAGAGCAGGGCCAGGTCTGCCAGCCCCGGGGTCCCCACTGCAGTCTCCATACCAGATTTGGAAGGCTGCACTTCAAGGTTGACATTGACAAAAAAACGAATGCTTTCGCCAGACACAATGGACGAGTTGACTGTGTCAAATGCCTCATCCCCAAGGCTGTCTTCCCGAACCTCATGGGTACCATCCATGTCATTCTTGAAGTATCCCAGAGATGCAGCTGTCAACGAGAAGGCCCGGCTGTCAGGCCGTACACCAGAACACCAGGAGGAGGAGCTATAAGCACAAAGAACTTGCACTCCTGGGCTGTCCCTTTTGGCTACACTCTGAGTGGCCCCCTAAAGCAGAATTTCTGGTCCAACCTGGACCCACTCTGAGTGTGGCAGCTGGCATACAGAGCTGGAGTCCCCTGCCCAGCAACTTTCTGTACTGGTTTCAGTTGTGAGACCCAGGGCTTAGTACTTTCTAATAATTCAGTATGAAAACAGTATGTCAGTTCCACAGACTGGACAATAGTGCAGGTAAGTGTATGCCTAAAACTCAGCACTCAGATGGCTGAGACAGGAAGATCCAGTTTGAAGCCAGCTTGGGCTACAAGTAAGACCCTATGGCGGGGGGGTTGGGGGGAGCTGTGCATGCTAGTCATACTTGCCAAGCCCAATACCTGGAAGGCTGGGGCAGGAAGACTGCTAGCCTGAGCTACAATGTGACCTTATCTCAAAAAATCAAAATGTGGAAAAACAAAAAACAAAACAATCTAAACTGCTTAGCTTCTGTCTTCTAGAGTCCCCAGGCTGGGGAACCCCAGGAAAAGTGAAGTCGCTGCATAGCCAAATGCCCCCCACCTCCTCTGCTGCCTTGTTTGCACAGGAGCCCTCTTCCCAGGGAAGGCAGATGGGGTCCAGGGCAGAGCATCAAGGCAGAGATTTAGTCCAGTGGTTATACAAGACCCAGGAGGCAAAAGAACCTGAGAAACAGAGGCAGGAGATGGAAGGCCTCCTCCCAGCCCTGCTCCCAAGGTGCAGCAGCTCCGATAGAGCACAGAGCCTGCTACCCCTCCCAGGTCCTTTTTTTTTTTTTTTAATGTGTGCGTGTGTGTGTGTGTCTTTTTGAGACAGGGTCTCCCTGTAGCCCCTGCTGGCCTGGAACTCACTATGTAGACCAGGCTGGCCTTGAACTCACAGAGATCCACCTGCCTCTGCCTCCCAAGTGCTGGGACTAAAGGTGTGCACCACCACACTTGGTTCAGGTCTCCTCTTATAGGAAGGCTTCCATATAACATGCAAGTGTTTCTTCCTATAGCTCACTAAAAATCTCAGCTTGAACTAGCCTGTTATCGGTATCTCAGGCTCAGCCAGACTCCTTTCCATCTCTCCTCAGGCCAGACAGAGCCCTAAGCAGTCCCATTCCTGTCCTATAAGCCAGCCAAGAGTGTCTCTCCCTCCAGAGCCTTTAGGTTTATTTGGAACCCTCTTCCTATATAGTCCTATCTGTTATCTGGCTCAACCAGAACCTCTTTCAGACTCTCTCTAATAGCTCCTCATTCATAGGCATTTCCAGACCCCATTAATGTCTGCCCAGGGAAAGGTCAGTAGCACACCTACACCTGCCAGGCAGTGACTCACCCAGACTCACTTCAACTCTTGTCCTCCAGTGTCCTCTGTACATCCCAGGCTTTGTACCTTAATATCCTGTGTTCAGCACCTGGTAGCCCCCAGCTCCCGGCCTGCCCTGCATCCAGAGCCTAGAGAACTATTGAGCCGAAAGATTTTCCCCTGCTTCTACTGTAGAAGTCGTAGCAAACACCTTCCTTAATTCTGGCCTGCCTTATTTAAAACTACTTGGGCTGGGGGAATAAGAAGGTATAGAGTGGCACAAGCCTATCTGCAATCCAAGTACTCAGGAGGTAGAAGCAAGAGAATTGGAAGTTCAAGATCACCAGCCTGAGCTGCATGAGACCCTGTCTCATAAAAAAATCCACTTGCTTCCTTCCTCCAGCAACCACTCTCAGCACCTACTACCATTCCCAGCATCCCCAACACTGCTCTTCACATGACCCCCTATTTTCTTCCCTACCAGGGCTCTACCTTTTCTTAGCCTTAGCTCTCAGATCCCCTAGGTCTTTGCAGGGCTCCTGTGGTGCCATGCTATAACACAGCCACAAAGCTAAGCTGCCAGCAAAAAAGTCTATCACACAAAGCCCTCTCATCCTGGGGACCTGGGTAAAAGCACATCATCGGTATGTCTGAACACTGTCCCACTAACAACATGGAAGGGCTGGGGATATAGCTCAGATGGTAGTGTTTGACTAACATGCATAAACTCTGAGTTCTATCTTCAGCACGCTATAAGTGGTGCAGGCTTGTGATCTCAACACTTGGAAGGTGGAGGCAGGAGAATCAGAAGTTCAAGTCATACTTGGCTACTAGGGAGTTCCAGGCTAGCCTATCTACATGACACCTTGTGTCAAACAAAACAAAATAAAACAAACATGGAGCCAGAAATAGAGGAAGTAGAGCAGTTGAAGCAGGAAAACTGTAGCCTCTCTCTCCAGAGCTGGATGAGGGCTGAGGGGCATGCACAGCATGTGGTCTAAGCCTGGCCAGATACCCAGGGCCCTGGAACAGTAAACCACAGGAGAAAACAGCAAGCAGTGCTGATAGCCACCTGCCCTTGAAGCACTCCAAGTCACCTGCCATTGGCCAGCTTCATCAGCTGCTTCCCCAACATGTCACACAGTCTCCAGAGCAGCAGGAGCTAAACCACTCCAGCACCAGCATGAGGCCAGTGCCATGGGGTGTGGGAACATGGGCTAAGTTCCCCAGGATTTCTAACCAAGGGGCTTTGTATATACACACCTGAGAAGTACTCACTGGAATCCTCAAGGTATCCATTCTGTGACATGGCCAACCCAAGTTTTCTACAAGGAAAGCCAAAGAATTGTCACCAGCCCAACAGACCAGCCTTGGACAGTCTCCTGTGCCCTCTTCAACTCAATCCACCCCATCCCTGCTGATTCCTTCTTATCCTCTCAGAACACATACTAGGCCACCTTGGGACAAAAAGAGAGGCGGGGGTCAGAGTACTGCGGGGCCTCTGCAGAACCTGGGGAGGCCAGTCTTAATCTTATTTTTTAAATCTTTTATTTCATGAGTAAAGTGTTTTGCCTGCATGTATTCCTGTGTACCCGTGTCCTGCAATGCCCTCGGAGGGCTGTAGAGGGCATCGGATTCCCCCTGGAACTGTTGTTATTAAGGACGGTTATTAGCCACCATGTGGGTGCTGGGAATTGAAGCAGGACCTCTCCAAGAGCCGATAGTGCTCTAAACTGCTGAGCCATCTCTCTAGGCCCAGTCTTAACTTTAAGTATTAAATTAAATTCTCTAGTACATCTGCTAGAGGCTGCCCAGGTATGCAAGGAGAGGGAGGGGCTTTTCTCAGATCATTTCCCCACCAAATTATTAACAACACCTAGCAAAACCCAAGGTGCTGAATCCAGCTCTGGAGTTCCGGAAGGGACTAGAATTAGTCTCTTCCTCACTCCGGCCCTGCCAAGCATGGCTCTTGGGCCTGAGTCCTCTGTATATAGCACACCTCTGCTCAGATCTGTCCTGGGGGGTCATAAATGCATCAATGCCCCACACGGCGCAGTTCTCCCCACCTTCTCAGGAGCCAGGGGTCCCTGGGGAGCGACCTAACAATCGTTTCCCCCCGGGGGTCTCCAAGGTCTCGGGCTAAGGACAAAGGGCGGAGCCTGGGTGTGCCGAACCCTGGAAGGGTTGGAGGTGCGGCACAACCTGGATGTCGGAGGCGCGCTGTGCGAGGAAGGACGCACAGGAAGGGCCGCGGTCACACTCGCAGACCCTGGGGCAGGATGCGGTTGTAAGCGCCGGGAACCGAGGCAGCGGCAGTTGGGAGGCCGCGGGAGGTAGGAAGGGGTGCTGGGAGGGGCCGCGCCTCACGAGCAGGTGAGCGGCCGGACGAACCCAGCTCTAGAAGGACGCGACTCCCAGGGGCGCGTTCCCGGCTCGGAAGAGCTCCGAACCCCCAGTCCGCCTGCCCCCTTCGGAGCGCTCTCCGCCTCTTCGTTACACATCCTTTGTTCAAGGAGTCACGACGGAAAGTGCAGGTCAGTCACCCGCGATGCCCTCGGTGTCCGCGGACCTCCACAAGATTCGCGCACTCGCTGGGACTCCGGCTTGCCCGGCCGACCCCAGGCCGCGAACCCTTCCGCCCCCGCCCCCGGCCCGGGCCAGCACGCGCTGCGCGGCTGGAGGGAGCACGTCTGCCGGCCGAGCCCGCGCTCGGAGTTCTCACCCGGTACCGGACGGTTCCCGGCTGGCAGCGGCGGGAGGCGGCGACACACCCCCGAACCTTGCCGGGTCCTAATGCCGCTCTGCACTAGACGCGCGGGAGGCAGCTTCGCGGGCCGGGTTGCGCTCACTCGCGACGTACGCTCCGAACGCAGGTGAGGGCCGGGCGGGGCTGCGAAGGTTCTGGGAACAGCCTCGAGGGACTCCCGGAGCCGCCGGACTCCACCCCACCGATTTAAAAGCACGGCGGGTCTCCGCCCCATCTGTGCTGTGGGCCCGGCCCGGCCACGCCCGCGGGCGGCGAGCCTCCTGCATTCCTGCTGCCTGGGCCCCGCCCGTCTCGCCTTTCCGCCAACGCCTCCCCGGGGTTAGGCGGGAGCTGGGTCTCCGCACCGAGTGCTGGCTGGTAGACAGCTATGGGGAGTGGGCAGAGCGGAATTCTGGTGAGTTCAGCCCGTTCGACAAACTCCCATGTCTGCCCTTCGGTGGCTTCGCAGTGATTCCGCAGACCCAGGAACACACGCCCAAGAAAGCCCTATCCTCCAGCCCCTCCACGTCCTAGCCACAGGAGAGAACCGGCAGCGACAGCAGGGAAGTTCTCACTACCGCCCCGCGGTCAAAAGAGGGAGCACTAGGCAAAAGGCGCATGCGTTTGGAGTGTTCCGGGAGATGCCAACAGACGCGTCGTAAGAGTTACCCGGCATTAGGAATGAAAGCTGTGGAGGGCCCTTTTGGCGATGGAAGACCTCGAGGTTAAACACAAGCCCCGAACTCCCTTCTCCCTCACATGCGCGCTATTCCAGGTTGTCCTGTTACAAGCAAACTCTGATTCAGGGATAGCCGCATGCTTCTTTTTGGGGGAGCAGGCTCTGGGAGGGGAGGCAGCAGGTCATCCTTCTATGTATCTTCTAGCTAGTTTCAGTCCTATACAGACGCATGGGTTGCAGGGTAGAGGTTGAGGGAACCTGAAACGACTTCCCCATGGAGCAAGGCAGGATGGCAGAAACTGGGGCTCTACCCTCCTTTTACCCCACCTCTCTTACCTGTGAATCCATCTGCCTCCTAGCAGCTCCTGAATACTTGGTCTGGCCCACCTCTCCAGTTCCAGGAAGATTCTGGTGATGGAAGGAGCAACTCTCCCAAGCCCCTCCTTACTGGGGAAAGAGCTCAGAGAAAACCTCTAGGCACCCGAGCCGTTACCCCCCACCCCCCGCACCCTTCTGTCTCAGAGGAATTGACCCTGACCCCTTTCTGCCTCAACCTCCAGTGCTGTGTATCAGAAACTGTTTCCTTCTGTCCCCCATTTGCCACCTGTACTGTGTAGATCAGAGGCTGAGGGCAAATACAGATGCCCCTTCCTGCCTCTCCTCCTTTGGCTGTGCACAGGAGCAGGCAGGCAGAGGGACCCAGATACAGGTATACCCCCTCTCATTCCCTGCATCAAGGCCTCTAATTTCACTGGATTACACAATGTCTAATGCCTTTCCAAGTGCCTTCAGCTCTGTCTGCCCCTTTGCTTTAGTTTATCTTTGATTAGAGTCTGGGGTAAGAAGCAACTGTATAGTATCACATTTAAAAACCAAACCATTAAAAGGGGGGATGGGGCTGGCAAGATGACTCACCAAGTGCAGGCACTTACTGCTACCAAGTTTGACAACCTGAGTTTGATCCCCTGGACCCATGTGGAATGAAGGAGCTGACTCTCATAAATTGTCCTCCACATGTGGTCATACACAGACACATACAAAAGGAATGTAATTAATTTTTTTAAAAATAGGCCTTCAAGATGGCTCAGTTGGTAAAGGCACTTGCCATGAAAGCCTGGTGACATGAGTTCAATCTCTGGAACCCATTGAATGTGGAAGCAGAGAAGTGACTCCACAAAGTTGTCCTCTGATGACATGCATGCTGTGGCAGGAGGCTAAGAGTTCAAGACCTAGCAAGTTTGAAGCTAGCCTGGGTGACATGAGATCCAGTCTCCAGCAACCCCTTTGGCAAAGACACCCATACTCTGTGTCTGGGATAATTTTCATCTATAAAACAAAGACATGGAGGAGCTGAGGAGCTAGATGTAAGTAAACTGCTTGCCATGCAAGCATGAGGACCTGAGTTCATGTCCCTAGTATCCACATAAAAAGCCAGTTGCTTGGACAGGGTGTGGTGGTACATACCTTTAATCCCAGCACTCAGGAGGCAGGTGGATCTCTGTGAGTTCCAGGCCAGCCTGGTCTACATATTGAGTTCCAGGCCAGCTACAGGGAAACCGTGTCTCAAGGAAAAAAAAAAAAAAAAAGTGAGATAAAAAATTATCCCAGACACAGAGTATGGGAGGTGGAGACAGGAGGATCCTTGGGGCTTGCTGGCCAGCCAGTCTAGCTAACTAGTGAGCTTCAAATTCATGAGAGACCTTGTTTCTATACCCAAATATACAAGCATACACCCCCAAAACAAAGACATTGGGGTTAGAAAGATGGCACTGGCAGAGGACTTGGGATCAGTCTCCAGCACCTGCATGATGGCAAACTGTCTATAACTCCAGTTCCAGGGTATCCAATGCCCTCTTCTGACCTCTGTGGGCATTGCACAACACAGGCACACTTACATACATGCAGGCAATATACTCATACACATAAAAATAATAAAATATTTTTAAAAAACAAAGACATTGAGTCCTTTTTTCCTTGTTTTGATGTCTCATGCCTATAATCCTAGCACTTGGGAGGCTGAGGCAGGAGGATCAGAAAGAAGTTCAGAGTCACCCTCTAACACAAAGAATTTGAAGCCAGCTGTGTGGTGGTGCACACCTTTAATCCCAGCACTCAGGAGGCAGAGACAGAGGCAGGAGCAGAGGCTGAGGCAGGCAGATCTCTGTGAGATGGAGGCCAGCCTTGTCTATGTATCGAGTTCCAGGCCAGCTGGGGCTACAGCCAGACCCTGTCTCAATAGTAACAAAAAAGATGTTGAGGGGGCTGGAGCGATGGCTCAGCAGTTAAGAGCACTGACTGCTCTTGCAGAGGACCTGGGTTTGATTCCCAACACCCACATGGCAGCTGTGAACTGTCCTTAACTCCAGTTCCAGGGGAATGTGAAGCCCTCTTCTGACTTCTGTGGCACTGCACGACACGGGTGCACTCACATACATGCAGGCAATACACTCGTACACATAAAAAATTTAAAAAAGATATTGACATGGAGGTATTTATGTGCGTGTGGGGGCGGTTTGGACATGTGTAGAGGCCAGAGGTAACCCAGTGAGGGTGCTGTCCTCAGGTGCTGTCCCCCCATCCTTTTTTTTTTTTTTTCTTCCCCTAAGACAGGGTCTCACTATGTAGCCTTGGCTGGCTTGGAAGTCTGTGTGGACTAGGCTGGCCTCAGGCTCAGAGATTGGCCTCTTGAGTGCTGGGATTTAAAGGTGTGGATCATTACTTCTGGCTACCTTGTCTTTTGAGACAGGGTCTCTCACTAGTACTTGGAGCTCGCCTGTAAGCCTAGGCTGGCTGACAGGCAGCCCCAGGGGTCTGTCTGACTCCACCTCCCCAAAATTGGGATTACAAGTGTATGTATATCTACCTTTTTTTTTCACATGGGTACAAGGAATGGAACTCAGGCTCTCATATATTTTCATGGCAAGCACTTTACCCACTGAGTCATCTCCCCAGCCAACAGAAATGGAGTCTTTTTAGCTAGAAAATTCCATGAAGGTTTAGTCTCAGACTGAAACTGTTTTTCTTATCAAGCTGTTTTTCCTTTTCCTGTTGTCCTTATTTCTATTATTTGTACATTCATCCAGGCATGAAGTTTCAGACGTAGAATTTCTTAAAAATGCAAAATTAAATTCTTCACTGATACAGGAACTGCGGTAGTAGCTGTAGGATAAAACAGATGTACATTCAGACTGTTGGGTTAGCTGCTTCTTTTGCAGATACTCATTAATACTCATTAATTTGAAATCTTTGACTCATATGCAAATTTTGTTTTAAATTGATCAAAGGCCTGGGAGGGAACAAAAGAGTAATTTGTGGATAAACAAATTTATTTTTCTTCAAATTTTTGGGGAATGAAACAATTTTGGAATTTTTCAGAATGTTATGATTTTTTCCACTTTGGCTTTTTCCACTTTGACCTCCAAGTCATCCCCTTGGCTCTGTCTAATTAATCATTTGTCTTGTCATCAATTGTTCCTGCAAAATGGCTCTGTGCTGTCCACTTCTTACCTCCACCAACCTGAAGCAGTAGGCTCCCCCCACCCCCCAGGCAGTCCATTTTAAGGGGACAAATAAGACTTTTCAAACAGTCCCTTCTGGGATACAGGTTCCTCTGGGCACACAAAGGTAGTACATAGTAGTGGGCTTTTCTCAATTTGTGGGGTGGTGGATTATTTTAATGGAGAATTTTTTTTCTTTTTGAGACAGGAGCCCTGTTAGCCTCAAAAACTTATGTTGCTGAGGGATGACCCTGAAACCCTAATCTGCCTGCCTCCATCTCCCCTGAGTGTTGGGATTACAAGTGTGTACCACCATGCCCAGTTTATGCAGTGCTGAGGTTGGAACCCAGGGCTTCCTGCATGCTACACTCTGCACCCCCAGCTTGAGAAATTGTTTTGTTGTGTTTGCAGGCCAGACGACAACCTTGGGTTGTGTTCGGGTGCCATCCTTTTTTTTTATAGACAAAGCCACCACCCTGTTACTTGCCAAGTAGGCTAGGCTGGCTGGCCAGTGAACCTCAGGGATTTGTCTGTCTCTGCCTCTCCATGTAAAGCTGTGACCCTTGGTTATGGTAGGTAGCTCTGTGATTGAGATATACGTCCATCTTTTTATTTATTTATTTATTTATTTATTTATTTATTATTTATTTATTTTTGGTCTTTTTGAGACAGGGTCTCCCTGTAGCCTCAGCTGTCCTGGAACTCACTATGTAGACCAGGCTGGCCTTGAACTCACAGAGATCTGCCTGCCTCTGCCTCCATGCTGGGACTAAAGGCATGTGCCACC